TTAGTGCAACTAAAGTTTTCTGCTTTGTAAGTTGTAAACAACTATATCTTAAGAACATAATGATATGCGGTTCCTATGTCAACTATCTATTCAATACCCGGATCACCAACATGATTATAATCACCATGTGTACAAATTAAAGTAAATGAATCACTATCTGAATTCATTGCTACAATATTACCATCATCTGAACTCTTACTTTTTTTCTCTTTTCACTCTTGCTTTAAGATTTTACAATGTCATTTTATATGACCTGCTTTATCATAATGAAAACATTTCACTTTATCTCTAGACTTGGATCTATGTTTAGACTTACTATGGCCTTTTGAGTTTTGACCTTTGTTGATGTTTTTACCCCTATTCTCTATGACCAGAGCTTGATTCCCAAGGTTTTCATCTTGTTTCTTCATCAAACATACTGTCCTTTATCATCTCCAATGTCACCTTGTAATCAGGAGTTGAATTAAAAATAGTCACAATTAGAGTAGTTTAGCTGTTTGGCAATGAACCTAAAAAAAATAATGCCTTCATTTCATCATCCATCTTAAGTTTCATGGTAGTTATTCGATTAAATATATCTTGAAAATCACTCAAGTGCTTTGTAATAGATCGTCCATTCATGTATTGTAAAGTTGCAAGCTTTTTAACAAGCATAACTTTATTCATACCTATTTTTCTCTCATATAATGCTATCAATTTTTTTTAAATAGTGTGGGCATCTACCTCCTGCACTATATGATGGAACACGCTGATATCAACCTATTTTTTGATTGTAGCTTGCGTCTTTCTACCTAACTTCTTTTAGTTTTCTTCTTTCATATCTGTTGGTTTAGTCGAATTACCCATACCGACTTATACAAATCTTTGCAGTATAAATGATCTTTCATTATAAGCTTCCAAATTAAATAATTTGATACTGTCAATTTTATCATGGAACTTGTATCATTCTCCATGATCTCAAACAGAATTTACTTCTATCTTGGGTTACTTTTATATCGTTGTCTCAAAATAACCTTCACTCTAATACCACTTGTTGGGCTTGAAGTAATAATCACAACAACGCAAAAGTAATATATCGTAATAAATCCACAGCAATAGACAACAATCAATAATAAAAAATACAAAAAAAAATAAAAGCACACTAAGATTTATGTGAAAAACCCTCTAGTGTAGAGAAAAAAATCACGGACCACCAGAAAAATCTTCACTATGAAATAATGGATATACAAAGTTCTTTTCTAGCTAAAACTAGAGGTAATCAACAACTAAAGAGATAATTAGAGAAATATCACCAAATAGGTGACTCAACAAATACACCATAGATTTGTTTCTAGAGAGCTTCAAATCCGAACCTCACCATTTAGAATGTAGAACTCTGAATCATAAACCTGTTGACAAAGTTTCAATTCAATCGGACTACGGATCGACTTTTGTTTAATGAACTATCCCTTCCTTTTTTTCTCTTTATTTTTTTTTGGCTTTTCTTCTTTCTCTTCTTGGTTTTACGACATCACTTTAAAATAGCCCTACCTCTTTTTATTAAGTAGTTAAAGCTCTGTGTAAAAAAAAAGACCAAGATCTATGGCCTTTGATTAGTCTAAACCCAATTGCATGGGGCTAGACCCCATTTTCCTAACATGAAGAGCCTTTTTTATGAGTGTGGTTGACATAAGAAATCTAGAAGCTAGTGCATGGCATGTTACAATGGAGAAGAATCATGGAACACGCGAGGTGACAGAGATGTAGCGAGAAAGATGAAACCATTATGCATGCTATCAGAGGTTATGCACGTGCAAAGGAAATTTAGAGAATTGCACATCTGAATGAAGACTGACAGAACAGTCGAATAGGAAATGCCAAACAGTGGCTGTCTTGGGCAGCAAAAAATCTGAATAAAGAAGAGCTTGGTAGGTTTGCAATGTTATGCTAGGTAATATGGGAGGCTAGGAACGAAGTAGCTAAGAGTAATGTGATAAGAATTGCCTAGGCCACATTGACATTTGTACAGTAGTATTTGGAAGAATATCATGAGTTAAGGAGCGGGAAGAGAAAACACAAAGAAGAACAACAGATAAATGGTAGGCACTAATGGATGGATGGATGAAAATTAATTTTGATCAGGTCCTAAAGAGTAAGGAGAACAGAGCAGGAATCGGTGCTATTGCAAGAAACCAGTTAGATGAGGTGTGAGGAGCTTTTTGTTTAAGTGTGGTTGGCATCAGAAATCTAGAAGTTATTGAAGGCATGGCAATGGTAAGAGCTGTAAAGTTCGTAAGGAGCATGGGAATGTAGAAAGTGATTATAGAAGGAGATGCACTAGTTGTAACTTCAGAATTCAATCAAGATAACGGAACCAATCTCTCAATGATAGGGAATCTCGTCAAAGACACCAGAGTGGAGCTCATAAAGCTAACTGAGTGGAAGATTTCTCATATACATCGAGTAGCAAATGAAGTGGCTCATAGGTTAGCAAAGATGGCTTTAGCTAAAAAATAAAACCTAATCTAGCTTTATGGATTTCCATATGAACTTTATAACATCGTACTGTAGGAAAGTTGTACCTTAAGTTAATGAATCCATGTTTAAGGGGGTCAATATGTCATTACTATGGCCAGAAGAAATAGATAATCAAATAAATCCTCCTTCATTCCCATTTTTTATTATTTTTCTTTTGTTTCAAAACTCTATCCTCTTTTCTATTTTGAACACATAATATTATTTTTTTTTAGTAGTTCAAATTTATTTTATTTTACTTTTACTTTTTAACATTAAAAATTGTAGAACATCAATAGTTTATAAAAAAATTAAATTATTAATATAAAATATACTAAAGAATATTTTAAAAAAGGTTAAATTATGCAATTAGTTCCTATACTTATATGAAATTTAAACTTTAGTCCCTGTACAATAATTTATAGAAATTAGATCATCATACTAATGTAATTTAACAATATTGATCTAATTGATAACAGTGTTATTCGATCTTTGTTAAATAGTTGACGTGGTTGTTGACAATGTTGACGTAGCTATTGACAATATTGATGTGATCGTTGTCTATGCTAATGTGACCGTTGACCATGTTGACATAATATTGACTTATTGATGTGGTAATTGAGATTTATTAAATTAGTTATTAAATTATGTAAATGGTTCTTGTATTCACACAAAATTTAAAATTTAATCTTTATACTGGCATGAAATTTGAAATTTAGTGATTGCATTCATACGAAGTTTGAAATCTAATCCCTCTAATATAAAAAATATTTTGAATTTTTTTAATTTTTTTCAAAATAATAAATTTTAAAAATATTTTAGTTCCTTTAATATATTAGTTTTTGTTATATATAATTAATTGTTAATAATATCATATTAATAATATTATTATTGTTTATGTTAATCAATTATAATATTAATAATTTAAATTAATATATCAAAGTTAATATTATTTTAATTAGTATAAATATTACATAATGAGAACTTTCAATTTTTTTGGTCTTTACAAAAAAAACTTATTTAAATAATTAAGTTTGAATTTAATTTAATAGTTTTTTTAACAAAATTAATAAAATAAAATTAATACAGTAAAAATATATTAAAATAAGTAAAAATGTATTAAAAATAATATAATTAAAATTTATATAATTTATAACTAAACACATCAAATATTTGCTGAAAATTTTAAAAAAATTCTTAATTTTAAAATTTTTGCATTTTTGTTTGCATTTAACTTATTTTGAGTCACAAAATCTTTATCATTCCACAGTTTATAGTGACAAAGTAAAGTACAAATTTAAAATAGAAATGTAATACTATAATTTAGAAATTTGTTTTGGCAAAAATAACTTTCAAAAGTATAAATTTTAGAGGTAAAAATTTTGTTAATCATCACAAACAGTTTAAATTGGTTTAAATTTATTTGTAAATCTCTAACATCCCCATATAAATATGGTAATCAACTTGCTTAATTATCGACCATATAGAGGTAGTCCTCCTAGAACAAACACTAAGGACCTAGTGATGATGATAATTTCCGTAGCCACAACGGTTTTTGTAATGATATTTTCCAATATTATACATACTGCTGATTGACTTGAGAAATACAAGGTTGCTAAGTCTTCTGACCCAAAATCAAAAAGATGAAAAAAAAAAAAAAAGCTTGGAAAATGTCAAAGTCTTCTTAATTTTATTCATGTGTGTGAAAGTTTATACAACAACAAAAAATCATACTTGACGTTGTTATTGAAACATATAACAAGTATGACTTTTGTGAGCAGCATGGATCTACAAAAAGAAAAATAAAGAAAAATGGCAAGTGAGAACACAGATTGCCACAACTAAATTCATGTGAGGGTCCCAACAAATGTTGCCATCACCAAAGGAAATGTGCGTAATTTAGTAGATTTATATGATAAAAAAAAACCATATATTATTGTTGTTGTCCATTACTTATTTACTTAAATATAGGGGATCAATGTATCATTACTAGGGCTAGAAGAAACAAATAATCAAATAAATCCTCCTTCCTTCACATTTTTTATTAATTTTCTTTTGTTTCAAAACTGTATCTTCTTTCCTATTTTGAACACATAATATTCTTAGTTTTTTTTTCTTTATTTCAAATTTATTTTATTTTTACTTTTTAACATTAAAAGTTATAGAACATCAATAGTTTATAAAAAAAATTAAAATATTAATACAAAATATACTAAAGAATTTTTTTAAAAAACTGTGAAAGTCAAAGAGAAGTATTTTTTTTACTTAACCGCTGCAACAAATTAAAAGTTGATATCATGCATAGACAAGGTTTGATAACCAAACAGGATGACATATGTCACTACAATAACATGGCTTATAAAATTTAAAAAATGTATATAGAAAATGAATGTTACAGCCAAAACTATGGCAAGTTAGGATGTTTTTATGAGTTCATATATCCTTTTACGAAAAGAGAAAACGCAAAAGAAAATCATGTTAAGATAGACATAATGTATGCCGCATTGCTACCGGCCATGTAATATGATTTCCTGCCTAATGCTGTCATAGCCAGACGGGTTGCTGTTAGTACCTCGAGCATTTGCACCTGAGACTTCATCTAGCAAATTTTCTGTCTCCTTTAAATCCACATCAACTTTTACCCACGGATGCTTTTTCATTGTTGTTAGACCCTCCAATTCCGTTGCAACTTCCTTCATTGAGGGCCTCTCTTCCCCTCTTACTCTTAAGCAACTCTTCGCCAACATGGCAACTTCCTGTATTTGTTCAGTGTTTTCCTCAAGAAGCACACGATGATCAATGATTTTGAATAGTCGATCCTTCTTGAGTGCAGAAACAAAATGCATGGCTAGATTTCGCTCCTCTTCAGGCATTTGGAAACAAAGTGCCTTTCTTCCAGTCAGTAACTCCACAAGGACAACCCCAAAGCTGTATACGTCACTCTTTTCAGTCAGCTGGCTTGATAGAAAGTATTCCGGGTCCAAGTAACCAAGCGTTCCTTGCACCAATGTGGTTAATTGGGTTTGATCCGAAGGCACTAATCTCGAAGCTCCAAAATCTGATACTTTTGCAGTGTAATGCTCATCTAAAAGAATGTTAGTAGACTTAACATCTCTATGAATAATGGGAGGATTTGCAGCAGAGTGCAGGTATGAGAGTGCCCCAGCAGTGTCTGCTGCTATTCTTAGACGACCTTCCCAGGGAATGAAAGATGCAAGGCCTGAACCGTGCAAGTGATGATAGAGGGTACCATTGGTTATAAATTCGTAAACTAACAGGGGAACTTCAGTCTCTAAACAACATCCCAATAGCTTTACCACATTTCTATGGTTGACCTGAGAAAGCACAATCACTTCATTGATGAATTGTTCAACTTGACTGTTATCAGCTATCGTGGATTTTTTTATGGCGACAACTCTGTTGTCTTGCAATATTCCTTTATACACTGTTCCATGACCTCCTTGGCCTAGAATTCTACTTTCATGGTAGTTGTTTGTTGCCTTCTTGAGCTCTTCTGCTGTGAATATTTTGGCTGCTACAGGCCCTTTATGCTTTGAAAATTCTCGTTGTAAGATAATTCCACCGTTCTGTTGGAAGAACTCTTCTTTCTGTTTGATGAGCTGTCTTTGCCAAAGTCCCCAATAAATCCAGGAAAGGCTCAATATTAGCACTAAGATGCTTATGCTCATACCTGTTTACCATGAAATAGAAAAAAAAAAAAAGGAATTATTGCGATTATTGAATTGCAAAATTGTCTTTGCAAAATTATTGCAGTGTGAAAGTTTAAACATAAAGTTCGCATCTATGTCCAAATTTTCAGTTAGGTACTTTTTCAAATGTGGAATTTAAACGTTGAGGCTTGATTTGGATGCAATCAAACTCAAGTGGGGGTGCAGTTTGCATCCAAAATTGTGCCAATCGTGCCGCAGACACCCAAATGAGTGTACAGTGTCACGATTTGCAAGTCGGCCAACGGATATTTTTGGTGCAGTGGCTAATCACAGCTGCTTTTTCTTTTGCTTTCTGTTTTTTTTTTCATTCCAGTTATGTTGTAGACACAAAAAAGTATCATTACCTAGAGCAATGTTAACAAAGGGAAACCCTTTAGGTTTGTGTACAGAACTGCAGCCAGTTCCATTTATTTTGCCATCCCCTTCATATCCATCTCCACAAATACATTTGAAACTTCCTGCAAAATTGTGGCATTCTGCATTTTGGTAGCAGGGACTCGAAATTTTGCATTCATCGATATCTACAAAAACAGGCCGTACCATCAATCTAGTAGTCAACATAAAGCTCCTTTCTTCAATTAACAAGAAAAAAATGTTATCTATAATTGTCAAATGAATAAGTCCTCATTTATCTGCAGATCAGGAAGCTGCGAAAATGGCTGAGAATTAACCTGAAAAGGCATTACTACTTTATCAAAATTTACGTTCCTCTCTTCTATTCATCGTTATCTTTAAAACACATACCTATGCAGCCTTCTGGGAGGTATGGATTCCCTTCATAACCGTCTGGACATTTGCAAAGATAGCCCATGCCTATGCCAGGTTCGTAACACTCACTCTGATGACATGCGTAATTCGGTGTATTCTTCTCAGCTTCCTCGCATGTCTCATTACCAACTACCCAATCAAGCGACATGGGAAACTTGTAATCTTCAGGTATAGATCGAACATAATCCGACGAGAACTCAAATTGATTTTCTTCAACAACAAAAGCATAGCTGCAAGGGTTGAAATCCGACACCTGAGAATGGTTGTTAAAGCTATATGCTATCACATCGATATTTTTCAGCCCATCAGGAATCTGTATCTGGCAACATCCGAATCCTGAACAAGAACCATCAACCAGGTCTTCAATGCGATTACATAGGGCCATACACCCCGCACGGTAGTATTTATTGCCCACGGAACCTAAAAGGAATGCATAAGTGTCGCAGCCAATGGCAGTAAACTTGTTTCGAGTATTAGAGACGTTGAAAATCGACAACGGAAAGGAGGATACTATCTGTGGGGATGGGATCACACTGTCGCCTGAAACTTTGTAACAATCTCGGGCAACAGTGGCTAAAATCTGCAACCGACCTTCTACGCTGATATTGGTAACAACAAAATCAGTACTTGCTAAAAAGGCTGTGGATGAGTTGGCAGAATCATTGCAGATGATGTGGAAGTTTGGGTTTAGAAAACAGTCTTCCCTTGTGCCAAACGGGTACGGGATGCTTAGATTTCCACAACTAGCAGGGCAGCCAGGTTTGGCTAACGCTTGAGCTCTGGTCACTGTTGCTGCAGTTGCTGCCAATACCAACCATACCAGGGTGCCTACTGCTAGCCTCGTATGTGAATCCATTACCCCCTCTTTGTAAATCTGTAACCAAAAATTAGACTAAAAGAGGAAAAAAATAACTGGTCAAGTAATTTCTACGGAGTGATTTTTTTGGTGGACCAAAGGATATGCTTAAGACATATAAATGTATGTATAATGCCGGCTTTGTATCACCTGCAATATCTCTTTGGATTTAACGGATTCACTTAGGACTTGGTCTATTGGTTAGAAAATTGCACTTTGAAATTACACAACCCGAGATCATAAATTATGTTTGAGCAACATTGTTACACACCCAAGAATAAATCAGCAAGCACAAGCTGATGGATCCAATACAAAAATAAAGGTTTTTTCCTTTTGTTTTCTACAATCTTCCTTGGTTACTTCACCCTTGTGATTGATGAGTTTTTTTCGTTTGACTGTCTCTAGTTGTTTGCCAACTTGCCGCCGCCTCTTCCAAAGCTGTTAATAAGATAAACTCAAACATGAATACAAATTACACTGATCAGAGACTTCAAGAGGCAAAAATTCAACAGTAGAATTTACAAATTGAGTGAGTCAGACATCATTAATAAGCACTCTATCCAACTTTCTAAAGAGTGTGTAATTACTCCAGGTAAATGGGAACCAGTGTAAGGGTGATCCAAGACAGCCAAAACATGCAAACATTCCTGAAATTCTTTAATATCATTGTTAGGAACCTGGGAGCCATTGAAATTAGAACTCTCAAAGGGATGAGCTACAACATGCAATCACCAACCAAAATCCAGGGTCAGCTAGAAAAGGAACTTTTGAGAGAGGACAGGTGAGTCCAAAGCCTCATATCAACACCATTATTACAGCCATAAATGGCAGTAAGGTAAAACTTCTGAGTGCCATAAAGAATGCTGCTAGTGATTCTTCGATCAGTGGCAGCCACCAATTCAAAGTTTCAACTGAGACTTCCAGAGCAACCAGATTCTTCCATTATATGCAGAGGAGTGGTTAAGGCCAGATTCTTCCATTATATGCAGAGGAGTGGTTAAGGAGCAGGCACCAACCAGCAAAGTGCTTATTCAAGATTTGATGTATATTATGCTATTTAACTTTAGTTTCTATCAAACAAGCCGCATCTACATTACATTGTCTAATTCTATCAATTATCTCCTTTTGTTTCAGGGGAGCATTGAGCCCTCTGATATTCCAAATCAGAAAATTCATGCAGAAAAAGAAGAGGTCTCCACCTTGACCGGCTTAAGCCCTTATCTATTTAAACCTTCGCATTTCAATTGCTTCATTAGATCTGCCACACCAGCTGAAGCTGCTCGAGTTTTCCTAGGCGAATTATAAGCAATAGCTGCAGGCTTATCCAACAAATCCTCATGACAATCAGGTTCAACAGGGGCTGAGTACTCTCATCAACAGAGACAAGAATAGCAAATCATTTAATGGACCAGATTTGGCATTTGATTTCTGTTCAGAAGCAGGTTTAGCAATCATTGGAGTAGACTTTTTTACATCACCCATAACCTGTTGAGCAATTCAGCATTAGGAACTGGTGGAGGCTTGTCATCGTTCTGTTTCTTTGGGTGCCAGACCTTAGCACTTGCAACAACAGGCTTATGGGGACATATCTTATCAGAATGCCCACAAATACTGCAGCGCTGACACTTCGGAGGCAACCGTGTAACTTGCACTGATAAAGAAACAAAATAACCACAAGCACAACATCAATAAATCCAGCAACATCAACAGCAACATCGATCTCCACACACAATTTTCGCATAGGCTAACCTTTTTTATTGGCCGTAACCGTATATCCATAGCGTCCAAAGTAGTGGTAATCAAAGATTTAAATTATGGATACGATCATGTTTTCAATTATAACACGTTTTTTATAATTATAAACATAACTGATAAGATAATGATTACTATGTCTATGTCCATCATAGTCGTGAATATTTTTTATTTTTATACAACTCATATAATGAAGTAAATTATAATTATAATCATGAAAACTCTTATTTTATGATATTTCAAATAATTTAAAATAATTTAATTTCTTTATTTATCTGAAAAATAAATTATTAATATTTTTATATTATATCTTAATAGTCAAATTAATCTGTATTTAAAAATTGTTTAAATATATTCATGAATATAGTGAAATTTACTAACATAATTTTCTAAGAGTGACAAAATAGTATTATATATAAAAAATTAAAACATTTTCTTATCTTTTTCAATTACATGAAGTTAAACTCGTAAATTAATTTAGTTTAAACTATAATGGATGAAAATTTTAATATATTATAATTCACAAATTAAATTTAATAATCAAACTTTAATCAAACACAAAAATATAACAATAATATTGAACAGTAAAACTTTAGTTATTTAAATTTAATTATTTTAAAACTATATTAATACGTAAAAAATATTCATGAAAATAACTTCACAAAAATCTCATAAAAATAAATTCATTTATCATCATCTCATTCCCTCTCTATTCTTATCTAAATCATTCAAAAAATTTCTCAATTTTTTAATTCTCACTATTTAATTGCCTTTCCCTCCCAACTTTTCATATAAAAAAATAATTTTAATTTTAATTTAAAGTCACGTTAGAACATGACTACTCTCCTAAATCACCCCATTGTCCTTTTTTATTTCTTCTCCTACTCCTCTCTTCCATGTCCCCTGCCTTGGTTCAATGTTCTAATTTTCCTCCCCATCAAAGCAAACCCTTTCCTTGCAAACCCACCCACAACCAACCTATGCGTCCAACCTTATGTAGCAACCAGACCCTTATGTTCTCTGCTTCAATTAATTTTCTCTCCTATCATGTATGGACTCATCTCTCTCAAGGTTGAAAAGATCAAGAACCCACACCTGCTGCAATTGATAAATATGGAAGCTATGAAATAGCACGATCTCTTTGATTGTTGTGGCTTGGTATGGGTTTTTGTCTTTATTTTGCTAAGTATTAGAACTTTGATTTGATAAAAATGAAGGAAAAAGTATCACAGAACCCTCAAAAGCAGTCAATTGCGAGAAAAACGGATTGATATTGCTGCTATTTATCGTTGCCCCACTATTTGCAGTTGTAAAGAGCTATTATTGGTGTAATTCGTCTCTCTCATCTCTATCGAGGAAGATAGCGATTTCGAAGTCGACGCTACCGTAAAATAGTAGTCACTATACCACTATCCGACCACTATTTGAAACCGTAAGTGGCATTATAGCTCAATCCTTTCTTGGTGTAGAGCTCTAAAGGGACAGTACCCAGATGTATCCAAACAGGCAACCTCGTCATATTAAAATCCAAGGTTTTCATGCCTGGTTCCCATATGTTTATTTTGAATATGTCATCACCCCGACTCAAGCATTCTGTCTTTGTCTTGCTCAGAGGAAAACTGCAAAACGAAAAGATTACCTACAATAGGCTTAATATCAACAGAACCATCATTTCCCCATAAAATGTAAACCAATCTGCGGAACTCGCTGAAATTAGGAACTCTGACAAAGAACTAAGCCACCAATGAATTCTGTTGGTGGTGATTCCCTACCTCAAACGTATCACTGGGAGGCTTGACCAGAAACTTTTCTTTCTCACGCTGCGGGGGGAATAGTGGTAAGAATTGATCAACTGAAGCAGAAAAAAAAAAAAAGCCTCCAATAAAATATTTTTTTGCATCGCCACATCAGCAGAGTTAGTTATGACTAACTCATTCTCTTTTTTCTTCTCGGAGAAAACTTAGACAAAGTAGATTGATGAAGTTCATGATTAAATAAAATTAAAATAAAAAATAAAAATAGATAGATTAAAAGATCTTATTATATATATATATATAAAGTATATAAAATATGAAAAAATTTTAATATATTTTTTAAATTATCATTTTTAGTAAAAATTTTGATAGAATTTATATTATTAAATAAGTACTCATCAAATTTGAATTATAAATAATATTTTCAAAAATTATTTTTTAAATATTACTTGTTGGAACATTTTCAAAATAATAATAAGTCATATGAATTATATATGAAAGTGAATACTTATATCCTTTTAAAAGATATATTTATTTACTAAATTATGTCTTACAAAGATTGGTGTTTATACAAATAGGCATTTTTATGGACAGTTATGTCTGTATAAAGAGAATTTTATTTAATTATAAATAAAATTCTTCTAATTTTCGGAAGATATAAGATAGAAAATATCATTTACATAGAAATATTCTGAATATGAAACAAAAACCCCATAAGTTTTCTATAGCTAAATCATATAATTCTGTTTTTATGTCGATAAATGTTAAGTGGAATGATTTTGTTAATGCAAAACACAATCAAACATAGGGTTTCATTGTATTTTCCAAAGTTATTGTCAATAACTCTTTTTCATACCAATAAATCGAGTGGTGAGGATGAATAAAACATTAAGGAAAGTGACATCGGTGAAAACTTCACTCAAATTTTCTGTTTTTCTAAACCCCTAGTTTTAACAATCTTAAGGTTCTGTTATCGCAAGTTTATAAGAAATTTTATTAAAGGCCATAACGGTAGACAAGGACAATATGTTTGGGGATTAAAACAAGGATTTATTCAAGTTTCTTTTATGTATTCAAATGAATTCTTTTAGGACAATAAATCTTTGACTGACCTATCCCAATACAATAAAATCAAGAAACAAAGAAATTGTTAAGTGTTGCTTGATTTTTGATAGGTAAGTTAATAGATTATTTTTGTTGGATGAATTGTATTTCATGTTTATCTTTTCTTATTATTTGGGCTGAAATTTAATTAATTGAGAAGTCCAAGAACTCCTTGGAATGGTTGGAATTCCTTGGAATGGATACAAAATTATGGCAAGTCTTAATGTAAAAATTAATGGAATGGAATTTTTTTCTTATATATGTAAGAAAGATATGATGGAGATAACATGTCCATCCCTTATGGTTTAGTTAATACATGACTATTCTTAAGCACTATGGAGACATATTTTTTGTATTTGAGAAAATGGCCATTTACACACTGCTAAGTTGAAAGTTTGTCACACCACCACTGTGTGGTTAGAATGGAAATATTCAGTTTTTTGTAAACTTTTTTCATTGGCAAACAAAGAAATATGCTTTAAATCCCATGACATCTAAAGTGGAGTTAAATACTCCATTTTGCCCAAAAAGAGTAAACATGAAAGATCCTTTTTAAGGGTTCTAGTTATTAAAAAAGAAGTTAATTCAATAAAAGCATCCCAAGCTTGGAATCTGATTCTTTCTATGCTAGAGAATTTGTATGATGTCTTACACGTCCATCTTTAATACGCTCATATTCATGCCAAGTCATCAAGTGAGTAGTCTTTGAAGTCATGAATAACCTTTGTAGTCTTGGAATTAGAGAAAGCCAACGTAAAATCTTGACAACTTTTTTTTTTTTACATTGTATCTTCGAGATCACTTTCTACATCATTCAAGCTCTCTTTCTACTTAGAAGTGCCACATTTTAAACACATATCTTCATTTGCCTTACCCTTCCAAAACAATATGCAATTATTGGGATAAGCATGAATTTTTTTCATATCCCAAACTTAAGGTAGAAATCATCTTTTTCAACTCTTGATAAGACCCTGGCAATGTATTATCCTCTGATAGAGTAAGTTTCAATACCTCTAACAATGTATTGAAAGACTTATTTATCCAACCATTAAAACACTTAATGTGGAACAAATATAATACAAATGAGAACTTTGTCAAGTTTTTGCAATTTGGATATAGTTTCTTCTCTGCATCTTTAAATAAACCATAAAACTTGTCATTATTAATTCTATAACCAAGGTGTTACTCTCCACTAGTATCTCCAGTTTATATGTTACCCACATCAACATTCACAGCTCTTTCAGCCATCATATCATGTAACAAATCATAAATGTCAGGACCTAACTTTTTTTTTTTCTCATTAGTTGTTTTAATAGGTAAACATGTATCTAAGACCTTCTAATGAAATACCCATCAAACATATCTTTTAAGAGAACCGTCACATATTATGTGATCAAATGTGTCTCTCCTACACACTTTATATGTGTTGACACATTTAATACAATGATATCAAATTTTTTCATCTTCAGATGATCTTATAAAGGCAAAGTCTAAAAAATCAATAAGTCCTTTAATGTATTCTTCATTGGCTCTTGACGTGAGATTTGCCTACATCTTATCCATAAAATGTACGATGATTTACCATAGTATTAAAATTATATTTAATTACTTAAAATGTATCATCTCTTAAAAAACTCAAAAATTACTTGACGATAACAATAAAATCTAAAAATGTCAACTTAATTATTAGTAAGTATTTTGTTTTATACAAAAACCCTATCAAAGTTATCTAAGTATCAAAGTTATTTATTTTAAGTCCACTTTTATGTCCCAACAGAAAAGATATAACCATAAAAGATACTCCAATATATAATAATGATTAATATTCACAATTGTATGTATTATCTCTTACCAAAGTGATTCCCAAAAAAAAAAAAAAAAAGGCAAAGGAAAATGATCGTTAAACTCCAGATACTATATGAATATATACCTAAAAAACTAATTTCATAATAATTAATAAAAACATTTAAAAACAAATAGCATTTAAAACTTAAAGGATCATATTATGTCATTAATTTAAAAACTTAACATTAAAAAAATGGCTTTTCATTTTTAAAAAATAAAATTAGACTATGTAAGAAAAATGTCACATTTTCATTAGGAATAATATTATGAAAATGTTACAATTCAA